TTTAGGATAAACAGTCTCATTTTATTCAATTTTGTTGAAGAACTCAACTTTTGAAATATATTATTAATCAATGTGTTTCTACACTCCATTCGGTTTTCCTTCCTCAAAAATATTGCAATCAGGGATAGGTTAGTTCGTTGAGGATAAATATTCTCTGAGTTTTGCCTAAGTAAAGTACTTTGAAGATGAGATATAACGTGGTATGTGCTACTTTTTCAATCGATTTATTTATATGAATCAGCTACGTTGTGCTGTCAAAGATTAGATTTTGCAGGATTGTGCTGGGCTCGATTATATTTTGCAATGCCGTAGTAGGGGGCGTGTCTTGTGCTGCAATAGTTTATATTTAGTAAAATCGCGGCCCGGTTAGGGATTTGTTTTGGAAATCCCGTCTGTTGTGTCAATATTCGGTCAATATCAGTAAATAATTCCTTTGTTCCTTGGAGGTCGGTATTTGAATAAGAAATCAGTTTCCTCTATGTTCCAATTTCACAAAAATGGTAACGAGGTTTGAGGATTTCGATTTGGGTCATGTAAACGTACATTATTTAATCACTCTAGATTATTTTTTCATTTATGACTATGTGAGTTTGATTTTCGGTTATAACTGCAAAAGTGCAAAAAAATTACCGATCATTTTGCGAGAAAGCGTGTTATCTAAAATTATCGAGGAAATTATGCATAAGATAACACGCTTAATTGCAGGATTATCTGGTCATTTTTATGCACGAATGAAATTCATTGGAATATTTCACGAATAATGAAATTCTCGCACAGATGTTTTTTTTGTATGGAGCACTGACCAAAAACGCGACTTTTTTTTCATTTCTCAAGTCCATCTGACATTTATTTGTATTTCCAACTATCGTTTAGTGACACTGTTTCAAATGTGTTCTTTTGGCGACGGGATGTTTTCCCAGTAATTTTTCGATAATTCATTGCTCTCAATGAGACAATATACAGGATGAGTCATAACTATCGGGATATATAGGCTGAAGGCGAATTCCTTAGACCAAATTCTGGCGATAGGACCGAATATACCAAAACGAAAGATTGCTGTGTGAAAATATACGGGGCGTTAAAGATGGATATTATTTTTCGTTTTCTGATAATACTCTCACTGTATATTCATCAATTGTTATCAAAATCCTCAGAGAGGCAGAGAGGAATTCTACGATGATCATCAATAAAACGAGCTGTATCTATCGAGATTATTTCACTCGTTGTTTCATTATTGAAACAATCATTTCACGTCGTATTTTCATTGGCAGTCGTTGCGTTATGCAACCAAAGATACATCAAGGAAATTCGCGTGTCATCGACTGCCATGTGATTGTTAGAAATTATGATATGGTAAGGAGGTTAGCGGTTCAGTGTTCATGAGTTTAGTTTGATTTTGAAATTGTTTGTTAGTTAGTGCCTATCACGATTTTAACTGGACTTTAGTGTTAAAGAGTTAAAGGTTACTTATTCCAGAAAATTAAAATATTATGACTTCCATGACAGCCTGCTGCTGGTAAGTGATTGTTTTATATACGCTTATAGTAGCTCGGTATGTATGTTTATATGTTTGTATGTAACGGAATCTACGACCGTGATTCTGACCCACTTCAAAACATCCATTATCGTGATCATTATCTTCAGAAAGAGCGTTTTTTTTTCGGGAATAAAATGGTGAATGATGTTTGGCCACCAAAACTTAAAAGATCCTTCACCAAAATTACAAATGTTTGTTTTTTCTACGAATAACCTTACAATGTTTTTTTTATATCCAGAAACACGACAGTGTATTGTACCAAATATACTCTCATGATATGAAAAAAAAAAATAGTTACATCTAAGATGTTACATCCATAGATTAAGTTAATCTATGTTACATCCAAATAGACGGTAGTATCTTGCACCAAGGACTCGTATGAAAAGAAGATTCCGGAGAGGGAGCCTGATAAATAGTAACATAATCCAAGAAAGGCAGCAGGCACCCAAAATCTCCAGTTTCGCTGCGTGGCAGTAAAAATATAATAAAAAGCAGATAACACGCTTCTGTAGTTGGCCGAACAAAAAATATAGAAAGTAAATAGTTTCAACAACTGAAAAAATAATCAGAATGAAATATAACAAAAGTCTGTTGATAAATACACAACATAGAATATACTGTTTTCGGAAGTGCTAATATTATGTATGATTGTGTTTATTTATGGACACAATTTTATTATTTCGTTTCATCCTCCTTTTAGTTTGGCTATGTATAAAAGAGTGTTTTCCGAGTTCCTTAATCTATCTATTTTTGATTGAACTAACAATGAAGAAGCAGAATACGAAATCGAGAACACAGCATTTATGTATCCGGTACCTCAATCAACATCCGAAATACAAAAACGAAAACATAATGTATTTGGATTGTCCATAGAGATATTTCAACCAAACGAAAACGTGTCTCTGTAGATTCTTCTAAGAGGTATCAAACAACTTGATCCATTACAATGTTCCTCAATACTCCACTCGCTATCATAACTTGTTCCATACATCCATACCAAACACAAATTGCTATCTCAACTCCCCTTCACGTCGATGCCTGAAAAGTTATAACTCCATTTCAAACATAATAGAGATTGATATTTGTTACGACTCTTCAACTACCTCTGTGCATTTTGAATTGACTCGGCCTTTACTTGATGGCGAATGTAAAAACTTCACAAACGATATATATATACCAGTATTTCACCTGCTGATGCTACTGTGTTCGCGAAACATGTCGTGTGAAAGAGAATTTTGTGGAAATCTTATCATCTGTGAAGTTTTTACCTTTACTTTTGTGAACCAGCTCGAGTAACACTTCGTTCCAGCGTATAATTGATGATATGGTCAAAAATGTTTTATATAAAGTTTGTCCAAGCTTTCGGAATATTATATTTCCATCGAATTTCCATCATCAGGGTATCAGGGAACTACAACAATTTTCCATTAGGTCACATCAATCATAGCAAGAGGAATTTTACTTACATCTTTGTTGAGGTATTGCCTATTGGTTCACATTGATGTTGATAATGATAAAATTGTATAAGACGATAATGACATAGTTAAGAAGACGAACAAAAAACAGGATCAATCACAATTATATAAAATTAGTTAATTTGTAAAATGTTGAAAATGTGAAAACATGTGAAAAAATCATCATTCAAGCGGCAACTACTAGATTTGTGGAAAATTGATAGATGGAAAAGGTGCCATAGTCACAATGTGAATTTGCTATATTCAGTCCAAAACCAGAAAACTGGAGGAGCAGAAGAGATATATCTCGAGACTCGTCTCGAGATATATTAATCCTCCTGACAATTTGACTTTTGTCAATTATGGTTTATAATTTTATTTCATTTTTAGTAAAAAAGAAAGATGTATTCAATGAGAGAAAATGTTTTTGTTGTTTATGTGAATTTCCAGGATATTTTTTTTTTTAGAAGTGTGGGTTAAATTTGATTTCGAGTTATGTTGTTTCATTGTCAACTGACAACAGGTATGCATAAATTTCACTTAAGCGATCTACGTCAGTTTTTTTATTAATGCACTTTGGTTCATGAGAAATGAAGGCCATTTCTAGAAAAATATATACATTTATTCTTTGCACTGTATAATTGAATTGAATACCTAACAACATGACATATTGAGTATACCTATATGTGAATATCGTCTATCGTTTCAATTACAATAACAAATTTTATCTCTACAATGAACCATTGGAAGTTGTAAAAAAGTACTCCTATCTTGGGGTGATATTTTCTTCTTCTACTTGTTTTCTCGAAATGTCTAAGGATACCGTAACTAAATCAAATCGTGCTATCGGGGCTGTTATGAATATCATGTGCAGATCTAAGATTAACTCATGGCACGCTAGAATTAAATTGTTTGAATCCATAATTGTGTCATCCCTTGCATATTCCATTGGAATTTGGGGACTACGTTATGTTGACGTTATAGAGCGGATTCAAGTTAATTTTTTCAAACGTTTACTGTCACTCCCTAAAAATACTCCAGACTATATTGTTCGTCTGGAAACTTCCTCAATAAAACTTTCTCATCTGATTTTCACTGCTGCTCTTTCACATTTTGCACTTCTCAACTCAATGGACAACCATCGACTACCAAAGCTCTGTTTTCTAAGATTGCTCAGACTTGATAACGTTGATCCTAAATACAACTGGGTATTGCAGGTCAAACAATACTTCTCTTTTGCCGGAATGGTCGATCGTTGGCAACAGTTTCTGCTCAATAGTTCCAAGAAAGCTATAACTTCTCTTCTGCACAAATTCAACAATGAACTTTTAAGCATTGATTTTGATAGTTTGAGCCAATCTTCGTATCCTCTCATTTATAAAAGTCTCTCTCTACGGGTAAATGTTCAAAACTACCTCAAAGCGCCCGTTCCCATCTATATAACTAGAATTATCGCTCAACTAAGGACATGCAGTAAGTCGTTCTTTAGAATTACCTTCAATCGAATAGTGTATAGAATAAATACTGAAGAAGAATGCACTGTTTGCAATCTCCACAGACCGGAATCTTTGGAACACATTCTCTTTGAATGTCCAGTTTATGCTGGTATCAGGGATTGTCGATTATTTCAAGACGTTGAATCTCTTGATGATTTAATATATCTTCTGAATTACGGTGGCCTAGCTGACTTGAAACTCCTAGTACAGGTTCTGATCAATTTGTTGAAGCTTAGATTTTTTGCTGTGAATGAGTAATTTGCATATCAATTATTGTTTCAATGCCTATCTAGGTCCCGCAGGAAGGATTTTTGTTTTCGTTTTAGCTATAAGTTCTCATGTATTATTAATCACAGATCACCCAACCCTTGTAATAAGAATTGTAATTCTTTTAATACAATAAATTTATCTATCTATCTATCTAATATCGTCTCTGGGTTCGTTCTGTTTGTATTCCTGTTTATGAGAATAAAAAAAAATTGAGATAAAAAATGAAAATCAGCACATACTCACCATTATAAAGCACCGTAGTCCCATGCGGAGAAGTTGGCGGTGGACTAGGCGCCGTAGCCCCCTCCGTGGGGCTAGAGGGGCCCCAGCAGGAGCTCGGCGCGTCCCCCACGACGTCGATCTCCTCCTCATCCTCCTCCTGGTCCGGCTCAGGCTCAGGCCGCTCAGGCCACGTGTACGCCTTGAACTTCTTCGCCATGAGGCACCGAGGCATGGTCCGAGTCGATCAAGTCATCCGCGTCGTCGACAGTCGATTGTTTTCCGGCAACAGTTGAGCGTCGGTCGCGACCACTCGCGCACGAGCACATGAGAAGGACAGCGAGAGACGGAAGAGACAGAGAGTGAGAGAGAGAGAGAGCGAGAGAGGGTGGTGAAGAGATAGCGCAACTGAACGAACTAAACTAAGGGTGGCCCTCGTGGTTTTGGAGCGCACCCTCGACGTGCAGTCGCTTTTATATCGGAGCGGTGGTGGGGGAAGCGCGAGTTTGGGGGTTTTTTTCGCCCCCTCTGCGCTGGCAGCCCGACGAGCGTTAGTCCGATCGCGGCGTGGAGGGTGGTTTTTTTTTTGTCGGCGAAGGACAATTGTTGATAGTAGGGTACACGAGGGGATGACTCCCGAATCCGGATAATGAGGATTTCATATTTATGATAGTGTCAGAATGTTCAATGGCTTCGTTGTCGTCAACACTAGCTGAATTTGAGATTTTCAACGAAAATGAGCATATTCAAATACATTTTTTTTTTGTTATATTTTTATGTTTTGGTTCCCACGAAAAGGCATATCCTGTAATGTTCAGAGAACATCGTGAGAACCAAAGGAATTGAGGTAAGAATTGGTGTTCTTCTCGAATTTCTGGAGGTTATATGCCTCGGAAAACACCTCCCTTGGCAATGTGTTCCAGAGCCTCGCTGTTCGTTGAATGAACGAGTCTTTGAAAAGAGATGTTCTGCTGGTCTCCAAAGTGACCACGAAAGGGTGCGAAGCCTCAACTCGACGAGTTAATCTCGCAGGGACTGCCAAGGGTGGAATAATTGTTGATATTTCAGAAGAGCGTCGTCCATATCTATAAAATTGAGCCAGATCGCCAGCTTTTCTACGGTGTTCTAGAGAAGTGAGTGAGTTTGTGAGCGAGGCATTTGCCTGGCTGGTATTGGAGCCCTGGAAGAGAAGGCGGTATGGAGGGTACTATCATCCGCAAAGCTGTGTACTGGACATGAAGTTGCTTCCAACATAGTTGAGGTTGATTCAAATATTTAATTGAAATCTCGTCCACATCCTAGTCGAAATATACCTCTACTTCAAATTGGAAGTAAATACCTTTGAAGTGCTCTGCATATTCACTCCCTAATGAAAATTGCACACTTAAAGAGTCTAAATTGAATTCCCTTTTCGCATGCATGATGCATGCAGCAATAATATATTTCATTAGATTTATTGAGATGTCCGTCCTCGTTTCTATAAATAAAAATATGATATGGGAGGTGTTTCCCGAGGCATATAACCTCCAGAAATTTAAAAAAAAACACCAATTCCTACCTCATTTTCCATGGTTCTCACGATGTTCTCTGAACATTACAGGATATTTCTTTTCCTGGGAACCAGAACATAATAAAAAAAATAAGGGTACATCAGATGATAAGCCCCAAAAAAAAACTTAGTTCAAAAATGCCAGTATAAAAAAGCCCTAATAAAAGAGTCAATCGATTGCCAGTGACACCTTGTTTTGAAAAATGTTTGATGAAATATTGATAGGTGGCAAAGTTGTCGAAAGCGCAAAGGCGTTGAGTACTTATGAGGACTCCCACGGGTCCATGGAATCGAGCCCCAGTTAGGATAGATGTTTGTCTTTGTATACTTCCCAAACCCCGCACAAGTTTCCACTTATGGGAAAACAATAATACAATGAAACCATCGTTCAGTAGCCTAGACTACCTCAATGATAAAAAGGAGATTCCTGAAAAGATGCATAGACTCACGTACGTTATTTACCATCTCGAACAAAGCGGGTATTTTTCCATCATGCTGGAAGATAGCTAGAGTCCAACCAATCCCCAAAACGAGGAAACTAAAACCTGCCCAACAACTACAGGCCTATTGCCCTGTTATCAGTTATCTCCAAAGTGATTGAGAAAACCATCAACATTGAGCTTATTAAATATCTGGAAAGCTCGGGAATCATCAATGATAAAAAATTGGGTTTTCGCCAACGCAGATCAACTGGAGATGTACTTCCCCACATCATCCATATATGGCAATCTTCTTTATGAAAACATGGGAATCTCTAGCTGTCGCGTTAGACATATCGAAAGCATTCTACCGAGTTTGGCACCATGGACTCCTTTACAAACTACCATCATATGGCTTACCACCTCAGCTATACCATCTCTTACCAAGTTTTCTTACAGGCAGATCACACCATGTGGTGGTGGACGGTGTATCGTCTCATACAATTGCCATCAATTCTGGCATTCCACAAGGATCGATTTTGGCACCAACATTGATCCTACTTCATACCAAAATGATCTTTTGGGAGCAAACACTTGCCCTATCCACAGTTTTGCAGATGATCGTACTCTCGATATTGCGTTCTCTTCCAGAATCCCTATTTTATTCCAGGAAACTAAGAACTCAACGCGAAGGCAGGTCATTGCTGCAATGAAGATATTGCTGAAATCACAGTCTGGTGAACGAACTGGAGGGATTCACAGAATTTCAGCACACTCTGACAACACAGAAATTGAATTATACCGCGGGTCGCAGAAATATAAATCCAACACGTGGCAGGCCATAGAACGCGTGCCACACAGTATCATTACCTCCAGTGAACTCTCACAATGTTGCCAATGTGAAAACTGACAGGATCATGAATATTGTTTCATGTAATTAGATACCAACAGGAAACCCCAGAAGGGTTATTCTGCAGCTACTCGATATCTATTGATTGATCCATTGTCGTTCCCTGTCAAGATCCCCCTTCCTGTCAAATTTGTAATGAAAAATTTCTCATAAAGAAGAGATAGCTGTTTATACAATGATGAAATTTTAGGTTCATCGATGTTATTTGAATTTGAGAAGGAACTGGTAACTTACCAGTGCTGTTATAAGAAATATTAGTATTCGCACTGCTCATTAACCTTTATATTAATGATAATAACTCACTACATTATCTTCATTCCTAGAATATCGATCCATTATTATAAAAAAAATACTCATGAAGAAAAACTCTCACCAGTTCTTGTTGCCTCGAATTCAAGTGATCGTTAAGACATAATTCATAAAATGCCTAAATAAAACAAACAACAAACCAACAACTGATGAACTAAGAATTATATATTCAAATCGAAATGTTTATCTCTCTGAGTTGACGTTTGAAAACTCCAGCCTTAAATTGTCATTTTCGAAAAATTCCTATCATATTGAAACTAATGAGCTCTTCTTGTTTTCAGTAAACTAGCGCCATTGACAGGCAGACAAATTTTGAGGCAATGAATAGACAACTTTGTTTTCTCTAAGAATGCTTGATCTTCAAATTGTCTCAAATCTTTATCTTTCCAGAACCATGACAGTGTCTGTCAAACTTGTACAGTTTCTTGTACATTTTTGTGTTGAAATAGGTTGACATATTGAATAACTGCACTCTGCACTCGAAAGAAGCAGTCTGCATAATTGATGTTCAATTCCCTAAACACAAAACAAGCTCTTTTTGAAATAACAAAAGAGAGTTTGCGCAAGTGGGGTTTTTCGCGTATGAAACCTCATGTTATGCTTTCTGTTTGTTTTGGACATCAGTCACCGAAAAATATATGACAGGTGAAACTGGTAATAGTTATTTGTTTCACTAGGCAGAGAAGTAGTAGATTGACTAAAGATTGGCAGAATTCCCGTATTATTTTGTAGATGGCTAGATGACATATTTTCTCTCTAGGAAGTTTATTTCAACTTTACATTTTCCGCATAGCTCCGCGGTTTCTTTTCGGAACACCATTCTCTGAAGCGAGTATGAGCTGCATCATACAGATTTCTAGATCTCCCTGGTAGCAAGTTAAGAATCACTGCAGAAGCAGTATCAATAGTTTCTTAGGGTTTTTCCTCGATTTCTTGTTCCATAACAGTTAACCATTTTCAAAGCTGTTTTCATAAATTTCAGTTTGATATTTGCTGTCACCAAGGATTGTCAACGATATGCATGTTGTCAAGATACGAATTCCACAAACTATACTACTATACTAATTATGACAAAACACTTCGATCAAATTTTAATTCTTTCTTAATTTTTGTGTTTTCGCCAGCGTCAAAAATAGTATATATACTTCAGGAGAGAATGCTATTTTTCTGTCCCTTGATGTGTAATGTACTATTTCTTGTTTCTCTGAGGATGGCTTAAGCCTAAAGTCAACACTCCATGTGCAAACAGCAAGAAAAATTACAGTTTCTATACCGTACAATTGTTCTATAGGCATTTCGCAATATCTCCTTCTGCAAACAATCTAATAATTGAACTATGGAGTAAAAATAATCTGTAACAACGAGACATTCTGCACAAACTGACAACCCTGTGAATCCGACACGTGTCAGACCGTGTGCCACAAACTAGCATTACCGTAGACCGTGCTTAGGTACCGTACACGTTACGCTATAGGAGAGGGGGGGAGGGACACGTGCTCTACCTGATGGTAGGAGACCACCACCTGATAGCATCGCAGCTGGAGGAAAGAAAACTAGAAAGAGAAAACCACTTCCATGCGTCTGGCTGTCTGGGGTCGTGCCCGACACCAGCTTCCGTCCTGTGCGGGAAATATACAATCGGGGTCGTAGGTAGATAGAGGGTGATAAGTGTGGCATTCTCTTTCATCCCTTTTGAAAAAAAAAATACAAAGAAATATGAATCTCTATCATCTTTATAGTATATTCTGGAGAATATCTATATTTTTTTTTCTTATATTCTGGTTCCCACGAAAAGGGTTATCCTGTAATGTTCAGAGAACATCGTGAGAACCAAGAGAAATAAGGTAGGAATTGGTGTTCTTCTTAAATTTCAGAAGGTTATATGCCTCGGGAAACACCTCCCTTGGCAATGTGTTCCAAAGCTTCGCTGTTCGTTGGATGAACGAGTCTTTGGAAAGAGATGTTCTACAGGTCTCCAAAGTGACCACGAAGGGGTGCGAAGTCTCAACTTGACGGGTTAATCTCGCGGGGACTGCAAAGGAAGGAACAACTGTTGATATTTCAGAAGAGCATCGCCCATGAAAATATCCATGAAATAGAGCCAGATCTCCAACTTTGCTACGGTGTTCCAGAGAAGTGAGTAAGTTTGTGAGCGAAGCATCACCCACGAGACGAATTGCCCTTTTTTGGACAGAATCCAACAGTTTCAGGTTATGTTTGGGTGCTGCACTCGAAATATGG